GGCTCCACTTGCATGATCTGTTCTGTCGCAAGAAAAGAGTCCAGGGTTTCGACTTACCTCGCAAAACATGGACCGCATTAAACCGTGTCAGGACGGGCCATAGCAGGTGTAAAGACTCTTTGTTCAAATGGAAGAAGGTTCCAAGCCCGGAGTGTGACTGTGGTGCTCCACGTCACACTGTTGAGCACATTTCACGCGAATGTAGACTGCGGCTTACTCGGGAGACTGGAGTGACATACTAATGTCCACCTCAGAAGCCGTAAAGTGGATAAGCGAGCTAGATCTACAGCTCTAAACGCTCTTTATTTCCTTGTGTACATGTGCAGTCACATATTTGTACAGTTTTACAATTGTTTAATTGCATATACATTTACTGCTTCTTATTCTCCTATTTCATTTCTGGTTTTGTATTACTCCATTTTGTTACGCTTTGTTTGTGTCATGTATAAGCCATACGCTAAATAAATAAAATAAATAAGCTTTCCATTGGAAGTTGTCTCCGGAAGCATCTCCCCTCGGAAAATGGCTCACGTGTCGCGTTGCCGTAACCAAACAAACCAAACCAAATTTAGATTTCATAACAACAAATAGCTTTTTTTTAATGAAAATATAGACCCTGACGAATCACAGTTTTTAAATTAGTTAGTTTTTCTCAAGTACTGTATTTTGATGATTTATCGCAACTTCTCAATTTTTCTGCCGCTGTGAGCATCGTGGCAGTTTCGACGCCAAATTGCCACCTGTTAGCCTGCATTGTTAATTAATGTTTGACAATTTAGATGGCGCCATGGATGACCTTTCTCTGGCCTGAATAGTGAGTGATCTCTGGTTATCCATATCCGTGTGTACCCGTTTAAAACTTGCGTGTATAATGTGGAAATCGTAAATGCGCAAAATGATTTTAAAATGTGATTAGCAAATACTTTTCTTATAATTTATTGTTTACTAACTTTCAGTTGAACGTTTTTTCTAATGAATTATCGTTTTGAATTTTTTAAAAATCCATTCGCAAACAAAACTTTTTAAATAGTTAAATAACTGTATAATCGCGAGAGTATTAAAATTATTAACACAATCGTTACAAATATATACAAATTATTAAGATAATTAATAAATTTTGGTGACATGTTTTATTTTTTATTAAGAAATCCGTCACAAAAGTATAAATTTCTATAATATATTTTACAAATTTTATAAAGTATTAATAAACTGGGAAAACATTTAGGCCTAATCTGAAATTATTTTGTTACACAAACATAATTATTAAAATCAAAATTGAAAAGATGATAGAACTAGTATCGCTTAAATTACAATTATTTTCAGTTTTTGAACTAAGTTTTAGGAGTAGTTCATTAATATCTGCACGGAGTTCAGGGTGATAGGAATTTTAATTCACAGTTTTAATCCATATTCGATTATTAGGAGGTCTCTCAAATTTATAATTTTTTTGGAAAAGTGTTTAAAAAATTTAAACGTGTGGATTGATGTTACTTTAGGACTGTGTAATACCTCTGCGCAATCCTTTTCTAAGTGTTTCGCGATGCTCGTCTTTGCCTTGAATTTTCATTATAATGTTTCACATAAGAAACTGATATCGGTCTTAAAATTGTCATTTGGAATAATTTTTAAGTAAAAATAATACGTAAAAATTTTAATAGTGAAAGTAGTCGTGCAATTTTAAAAGTATAATTCGGAACTCCGTAAGAGGTAAGTGTTTGTATTAATTATCAGACAATAAAAATAGAAAATACATTGTGTGATATACAGTAGGAGTCTGGCAGGCGTGCAGTTAAACGGTTGGATCTAAAAATACGTTCGATTTCCCGCGGAAACGCAAAAAAAAAACCACTAAAATAGTACAGTGGAAGCTCTTCAGAATAATCCTTAACTCCCTCTCTTTTTCCCGCTTCGAGAATTTCGAAAAACGCGTTTTAGTTTATATTTTCATTGCGCACCCTATACCCAATTTTAATTTTCAACTACTAACGTTTTTGGCTCTGCGCTTATTATCATAATCATCATTATCATCATCAACCCTACTCGATTATATTATAAAATTCTAATATTTTGTGTGTTTTTGGCAGCAATTAAGAAAATCTATTGAGTATTATCATAAATTCTAGCTTTATACACTATAAACTATCAAAGTTTCGACCACGATTAAAATTTAAATGATAAAATGTTCTATAAAAATTGATTACGTATAATGTGTTTAATTATTATATTTATATTTTATAACAACTTTTTATGCAAAGATGCAACTATAAAGTGGAAGTAAATATTGAGAATGTTAAAGGCAGCATACCAAACGGCGTCACAAAACCAATTACCGCTTGTATAATTCGTAATATTTATTGTTCTTACAGCATTTTTGACGAATTTATCTCTATCGAGGGACATATTTTTAATCAATTCGAAATATTCAAAATTTCTACTGTGTTCCTCAACCATTCTAGTCCGAATCGCAAAAGGAATAAGAGATTGAAAACTCACATTTTTCCATTTATATTCGTAAGACAATGCTCGAGTGAAACGATCGGAAAACGCTTTACTTGCCGAATACACGCTTGAAAATTGACAAGGCACTACGGAGGTCGATGACGAAACAGTAACGATGGCGGCCCTTTTTCTGGCTAACATCGAAGGTAAAAACAATCGTGTCGTGTGAACCACCGCATTGATGTGTAGTGCTAACATTAAATTCACATTCCTGTCGCTCTCGTTTAACATACGACAAGGAAAGTCGCCCGCAACACCGGCACAGTTGACTAAAATGCGAACATCCGTTTCCTTCAGGCTGCTGAACACGTGTTCGTAGGCATTATCGTGGCTGAGATCGGCCTGAATGTAGCGACATTCTACTCCGTATTGACTTGTAATTTCTTCGGCGGCAGCCTTCAGAGCCTGCAGTCCGCTGCTTACGATTACAATGTGTAAACCTCGTTTGGCCAGTTCGTTAGCGTAGCCTCTTCCTATTCCCGAACTTCCTCCCGTCACCACGGCCCACGGTCCGAATTCCTTCAAATCCGAAGTGCATAGAGAAAAAAGATGCACCCTTAACACGTTGACAAACTTGCATATTAACGTTGAGACAAAAAGAATTGTACAGAATATACCAAAACAAGCCAAAATGCAACTTTGTTCTATGGCTTCGAACATGATTTAATTCTGTTTTTCTGATGTATCGAAACAGAATAAAAGTTGATTTGTTATCACATTTAGCAACCAACCCGTCTTATATAATTTTCTATCGAGTTTATATATGAGTCGTAGATAAAGAGCAAAGATCGCAGCTTTGATTATTATTTTATTTAACGAAAATATTTATTAATTTCATGATAACGAATATAAGAAGTTTAAAGTTTAATATAAAGCTAATATCAACAATATTCGTCTGATAAAATCTCTTATTTTTGTAACCGCCAAAAAAAGGTTTGTAGGCAAATAAACAAATTTATTATGTCCTTCTAATCCGACGTTCATCAGAGATTAAGAACCACACAAAGACAATTTGAATTCACAGCTCGCTATTTACATGCATTTTGGATCAGACTTTGTACCGATTCCTGCTTAGTATACAGATAATAATAAACTTTTAGAATTTAGAAAACAAAAAATATACATAGGTGTACTTTGCGACAGTTTTGAGTGTTCTTAGTACGTTTCCAACAATTACAGTCACAATCATCTTGCATTGCGTAACACTGTTCCTTAATTATTGTTATTTTTATTCCTGTTCTTTAATTTTGCTATGTGACGTCACTATATTTGTCATCTACCAACATTGTATTTTTGGGCCTCAATTGAAAAAATTGCAGACCTATAAATTTCACCGTCGTCCGTTCGGCTGTTTTTCCTTATTCTCGAGAACGAAGTTAGATAAATNTGTTCTGTCGTAGGGGAAAAGTCCAGGGTTTCGATTTACCTCGCAAAACATGGTCCGCATTAAACCGTGTCAGGACGGGCCATGGCAGGTGTAGGGACTCGTTGTTCAAATGGAAGAAAGTTCCAAGCCCAGAGTGTGAATGTGGTGCTCCACGTCAGACTGTTGAGCACATTGCACGCGAATGTAGACTGCGGGCTTACCCGGGAGACTGGAGTGACATACTAATGTCCACCCCAGAGGCCGTAAAGTGGATAAGCGAGTTAGATCTACAACTCTGAACGCTCTTTATATCCTTGTGTACATGTGCAGTCACATATTTGTACAGTTTTACAATAGTTTAATTGCATATAGACTTACTGCTTCTTATTCTTTTATTTCACTTCTAGTTTTGTATTACTCCATATTGTTACGCTTTGTTTGTGTCATGTATAAGCCATACGCTAAATAATATGTATATTTTTTTCGCAATCTAGACCCTCCACTGTCCCGCCAGACCGCATAAAAGCGCTCCGGCACTCCANCAGATGTGAAAAAAGTACGAGCAGGAAGCCCCGATTAACTATATGCAAACCTCTGGTCCAACTGAAGTCACGTTATTTTAATTCAAATATTTTCGGTGAAAGAAGTTAGATAGATGACCGGCATGACTCTACTGCTAGCAGGAAAAGTATAATGCTCAGGAGCAAGACACTACTAATTTGAAGATGGCGAGCATTAAATTAAATAAATTTAAAAATATAATTAGAAATTGCAACCCGGCATTGTGACGATTTGACAATGAATAATTATTTTTACTTTTCACCTGTACACGTTTTACACGACATTATTGTGTTTCGGACTAGTTCGTCCTTCATCAGCAGGTTAACAGCCAACATTTTCTAAAACAAATCATTAAAAAATTACTACAAATTTATAAAAACCGATAATACAAAATTACATTAAATAACTTAGGGGAAGGTGGTGCAAGATGGGGTCAGGAGGTAAGACGGAAACGTCTGTTTATTTGTGGTTAATGTAATTTTATCTAACTGTTATTTGGGGAACTAAATGTCAACCTCAAAAGAGATCATGGGACAAGAAAACGTCCAAATAGCTCTTTTTGTTTGGAAGCAAGACATGTTTTTATATTTCAGCGATACTTCATCTAATTTTACGCCTGCTACAAAGTTTCTACAAAGTACGTATCATTGTAAACATTTACATTATCTTTTACATGAAAATATTATGGTATTTGAAGTAACCTTTACGATTGTAATTGTTTAGTTTTGAAATGAAGTTTGCAGTCAGTATGAAAAGTGTACGTTGGGGGCAAGATGGGGTATCCTTCTAGTCTCAGGTTGACCATGAATATGGCCTATGAATCCAGAAATATTTTTCGAGGCAGACTTTATTGCTGCAGACACGACAAACAGACCCCTTCAGCAAGGGTAGCCTAACAAGAAACAAAAGACAAATGACACAGAATGCCTCTATTGTGAAGGGTTATACTCTGTATCTACAGAGAGTTGAGCTAAATGTAGCCGTTGTGATAAATGAGCACACTGTTCTTGCGCCAATATTGAAGAAAACGACAGTTTAACCGTTATAATTTGTCCTCCTTGTATATAAAAATAATATTCCTATCTAACCCCACGGGTCGGGCAAGATGGTGCATTTACATATAATTTTAAAATATTAAATTTTCTTGTTTCTAAAAACGTTTTTCAGAAATTAAATTTTGTATTATATATTACCACATGTTGTAGTTGCTGAGAATAAAAAAAATTATTATTTTTATCACAGTAGTTGCAATCTTATGACTTTTCAAACCTCAACGTTTTCATCTTGCCCCACCTTCCCTTACAGTTATTTCCAACTGTAAGTTATTTTATGTAATTTTGTATTATCGGTTTTTATTGTCAGAATTTTATAAATTTGTAGTAATTTTTAATGACTTGTTTGTTTTAGAAAATCTCGGATGTAAACCTGCTGATGAGGGACGAACTAGTCCGAAACACAATAATGTCGTGTAAAGCGTGTACAGGTGAAAAGTAAAGATTATTTCTTTCTGATAAGTTTTCTTAAATTTGCAGAACCAGTCGTATGTATAATAAGTCCGAGTAGACATCTTAAATACTAAACTATGTATTAAGTACTAAACTATGTACTGTATATACAGTATTAAACTATGTTAACGTTCAAAATTTCATCCTCTATAAGCCCCCAAGTTTTTAAAACGTCATTCTGATACATCCTGTATTTTTAAATATCTTGAGTTTCTATCTGTTTTATTTACCTTACCTTATTCCCAGTTATTATTTTGTTAACATTTCTTTAAATTTAACCTTTTAAATCACTTTTTTTTAACATTAAGTAAGTTAATTGATTTATCTATTTTCAGTATTATTAAAGAAGTTTTTTTGTATATTGAAACGTTAAAAGATATTTCTAATTTTAACATATTTAATATGTCATCCGAAATTTTATTATTAGTTATATCTAAAATTAACTTACTGATCCAGTGTTTTGTCTCATTTAAAGTTGAATATCCAAATAGTTTGTATAGTTTTACATTTTTTCTTCTTTGATACGCTTCATTCTTAATGCATTCTGTATTGCTTTTCTTATACTTCCTTCTTATTTTTCTCCGGAGTAAGTGGAATTTTTTACTCATATATAACTGCTGATTGTAGAGGCTGTTCATCGATTCTTCATATGTCATGACGCTGGATATAAAACGTAATTGACGATTCTAAATGAAACGGTTGCGACCTTATCAAAGCTGTAGAGCAGGGGTGGCCAACAGTTTTGCTCCCGGGCCGAATTGGAAAGAAAACTTTTTCACGGGCCGAATCAAAGGCTGCCCTAGGAAGATTTTGAGGTAGTGCGAGATCTCATTGTGGTGTCACCCCGTAGAGACTAAATTGTACAGAGAGACTACAGATACATTTTTCACATTATCATGCTTTATGAACGTTCTACGCTGTACTTAAAAGATTTGTACTGGAGGGTTAACTCTAACCGGACAGCGAGTTGTTGACCTTTTTTTTTTAGGCGTCAGCATTTTTCATCGAGCTATTCTCACTTGAATACCTATAATTGAAAGATTAATCGTGGACCACATAAATCCATTACACGGGCCACATTCGGCCCGCGGGCCGTATGTTGGCCATGCCTGCTGTAGAGCATACTAATAGAAGCATATAAACAAATTTGTTATGTCCTTCCAATTCGACATTCACTGGAGGTCAAGAACAAGACAGAAGACAATTTGAATTCACATATTTGAAATAAATATAAATAAAGAAAGATCAAAGAAAATTAAAAAAAAAAATCAGAACTGTGGCAGAGCACATCAATGTAAGATTATTTGTTTTTTAAATTTTACATGTTTTAGTAACTGTAAATACTAAACGGATTTTTATAATCTGTAGACTAAGGAAACAATCGATACAGACTCCGATTCCAAATGAATATAGGCCTAAATAAAGCACCGTGAATTCAAATTGTCTTCTAGATGGTTCTTGACTTGTGATCGTCATATAACATATTTGTTTATTTCCCTACAAACCTGTTTTTTGGCGAATACAAAAATAAAAAGTTTAAAATTCTTTTTAATTTTCAAATGTCTTTAAATGAGGTTTTTAATTTATAAAATATTTTATAATAATAAATTTATACAGTGGTACCTCGGTATACGTCTGCTTTAGAATACGTCCAATTCGGAATACATCCTGTTTGGACGAAACAAATTTTGCTCGGTATACGACTTTTGTTCGGTATACGACATAATTCAGTTATACGCGCCATCAGTGAACAAGTAGCACTATCGGTGTACTAGACCAGACTAGACGTTCGCGGTGCAACGGTTTATAACTTTGTTTAATTTCTTCTGATTTTAATTCGTAAGTAAAATTTTATTATTTTATTAATCACGAATCGCAAAAAGGCAAATGAAAAGCAACAGAAAACTAAAAAAAAATGACTAGAATCACAATGGAACCGAAAAAAGAGATTATTGAGAAATACGTAGATGGCACGCGTGTTCGAGATTTTAACTGTTGTTTACCGTATTCCGAGAACGACAATATGGACAATCGCGAAAAATAAAGACATTATTAAATCTGCTAACGTTGCGAAAGGGGTTAAATCAATTTGTAAACAGAGATCGAAGACATTAGATCACGTCGAGAAATTGCTTTTGCTTTGGATAACTGAAAAACAGAGCTGGAGACAGCGTATCGGAAGCAATTATTTGCGAGAAAGTTAAAAAGATACACGCTGATCTCACAAAAAATCAAGCAGGAACTGGCCAGGAAAGCGAGGTGTTTAAAGCCAGCCATTTTTTTTACACGAGAACGGATTAATCATTTTTACATTACTTCTTATGGGAAAGGTTGGTTTGGTATACGTCCAATTCAGTATAAGTCCAAACATCGGGAACGGATTAAGGTCGTATACCGAGGTTCCACTGTATTTAGAACGTCTAAACTTCGGGTAAAAAAACAAAAAAAAAAAAAAACGTTAAAAACTTTAAAACCTTAAACTTTTAAAATTAGTAATAAATGTACAAACGAATTTGAGAAAGAATTTAATTGTCCTTCAAAATTATTTTGATTTTTATGATTTTTTAAAAATAACTTTAAAGAACTTTTATTGACTTTTTTCCTCTCTAAATTAGTTTTTAAGTTTTAAATGATATTTAATTTAATTGTAATCGTTAAGTATTAAGAAAAAGTCATTAATTGATGTAAAGTAATTACAATTAGCATATACACTTTGAAAATAACACGTGTTTATAATTCTTATATTTATTTTTGTTTGTGCTCGTGTGTATTGTATAGACAATGTTAAATATAAAACAGACAAAAGTTCCAGTCTTGACAGAACAGGAAAATTATGCAATTACGAAAAGATATGAGGGTGAAACATTTGTTTATAACCCCACATCTCCATGGTTTTGTAGGATTTAAAAAAAAATAATTTTATTTGTACAAGTATAGGTCTTATTATTTTAAAATTTTTACTGCATTTATTTATTTACTTATTTATTAATATTAATTTTATATTTTTTTCAGATTTACTTATTTTACCCAAAGGTTTTAATAATTAGTAATTCAGCTGTTACTATATAATATTGTTAGATAATTATAGCTTTGAGAAAAATTTTGTACGCTTATGTTAAATATAATATAATATATTCTTACATAATTTTTTCCCGATGTATTTAATAAAATAGGACCGAAGAGGGAAATTAGCACGAAATGAATAACTTTTTAAATTATAGAAAATAAACTGCTTTTTCCATTGAAAGAAGTTCCTGTGTAATTTGTTCCCAACAGCAAACTTGTGCTAATTCCGAATAAAACGCAGTTAAATTTCTTATATTCGTTATCATAAAATTAATAAATATTTTTGTTATAGCAAAGTAATAACCAAGGCTGCGAACTTTGGTCTTTATCTACTTCACATGTATAAATTATATAGTAAGTTCTATAACACAGATTGGTTGTTAAATGTGGTAACAAATCAACTTTTATTCTGTTTCGATACATCAGAAAGACAGAATTTAATCATGTTCGAAGCCATAGAACAAAGTTGCATTTTGGCTTATTTTGGTATATTCTGTACAATTCTCTTTGTCTCAACGTTAATATGCAAGTTTGTCAACGTGTTAAGAGTACATCTCTTCTCTCTATGCACTTCGGATTTGAAGGAATTCGGACCGTGGGCCGTGATCACGGGAGGAAGTTCGGGAATAGGAAGAGGCTACGCTAACGAACTGGCTAAACGAGGTTTACACATTGTAATCGTAAGCAGAGGACTGCAGGCTCTAAAGTCTGCCGCCGAAGAAATTACAAGTCAATACGGAGTAGAATGCCGCTACATTCAGGCCGATCTCAGCCACGATAATGCCTACGAACATGTCTACAGCACATTGAAAGATACGGATGTTGGCATTTTAGTCAACTGTGCCGGTGTTATGGGTGACTCTTGGTGTCGTTTATTAGACCTGACTGATGAGGATGTGAATTTATTGTTACAATTACACATCAAAGCAGTGGTTCACACGACGCGATTGTTTTTACTTTCGATGTCGTTCAGAAGAAGAGCCGCCATCGTTACTGTTTCGTCAGTGGCCTCCGTAATGCCTTTGCCATTTTTGAGCGTGTATTCGGCGTGTAAAGCGTTTTCCGACCGTTTCACTCGAGCATTGTCTTACGAATATAAATGGAAAAATGTGAGTTTTCAATCTGTTACTCCTTTTGGGGTTTGGACCAGAATGGTTGAGGAACGCGCTAAAAATCTTAAATATTCGAAATTGATTCAAAATATATGCCTGGATAGAGATAAATTCGTCAGGAATGCTGTAAGAACAATAAATCTCACTGATCATACAAGCGGTAATTGTTTTTTTGATATCGTTTGGTATGCCGCATTCAAAATTTTCAATATTTTATGGGCACGTCTTATGTTTAAATTTGCGCCTTCGATTAAAAAGTCTTTATAAGATATAAATATAATCATTAAACAAATTTTCCTAATCAGCAATTTTTAAGTTTTTATCATAAATTTTTATTACAATGTATTTCATATATAAATTTTTATATAGGATTTTTTTTAATTCTCTTGCGATTTTCAGTTTTTTTTTTTTAGGATGAAACCCTGCATTTTTCAATGGCATTAAACAACTCACTGCAAAAATTAAAAACAATTTTCAGCTTTCTGATGTTACCAAATAAACTCAGTTGTAAGGCTGTTCAATTCCCTTTATTGGGTTGCAATTTGAAAAAACTGTAGATCTATAAATTCACACTCTCGTCTATCTGTTGTTCGTCTGACCTTCCTTAATTTGTAGAAAGGAGTTAGACAATGCCAAAACCAGATATGGAAAGCTTAGTGGCAGGAGGCCCGATTAACTATATAGGAACTTCCGATTCAAACCGGAAGTCACGTTATTTCAATTTAAATATTTTCCCCTGAATGCAGTTAGACAGATAACCTGCAAAACTGTATTGCCGACTTGAAAATACGATATACAGAGTCAATACATTACTACGGTAATTTGAGGTGGAGAGCTATATTTTAAATTAAACTATTCGGTAAAACTGCATTTGTCACAATCTACAAGAACAACCAGCTGTACCATTAAATGCAGGGCGAATTTTAATTTTTGTAACGTTTTCGGTCGTTTTTATCCTGCGATTCTTATTTTTAAATGCAATCGAATGCATTTAAAAATAAGACAATTTTTATTTCAAAGTTTTGACCTTTAGAATCCCAATCGTTTAACAGCACGTATCGGACTTCTACGTAGATCACACATCGTGTTTTTTTTTTTTTTTTTATCTCTATTTTCCGGCCATTAACAAAAACGCTGACTTCTCTTACGGAGTTCCGAATTGTACTTTAAAATTGCACAATTTTTCACGACTACTTTCACTGTTAAAATTTTACATATTATTTTTACTTAAAAAATATTCCAAATGAGAATTTTAAGACTAATATCAATTGCTTATATCAAGAATTATAATGAAAATTCAAGGCAAAGACGAGCATCGCGGAACACTTAGAAAAGGATCGGGCAGAGGTATTACACAGTCCTAAAGTAACATCAATCGACATATTTAAATTTTTAAAACGCTTTTTTTTTTTAAATTTGAGAAATTTGGAAATAATGTAATATAGATTAAAACTGTGAATTAAAATTCCTATCACTTTGAACTCAGTGCAGATATTAATGAACTACTCCTAAAACTTAGTTCAAAAAATTGAAAATAATTGTAATTTAGGCGATACCAGTTCATCATCCTTTTAATTTTGATTGCTTAACAAAATAAGTTTTAATTAAATGTTTTCCCGGTTTATTAATACTTTATAAAATTTGTAAAATATATTATAGAAATATGTACTTTTGTAACTGATTTCTTAATAAAAAATAAAACACGTCAACAAAATTTATTAATTATCTTAATAATTTGTATATATTTGTAACGATCGTGTTAATAGTTTTAATATTTTCGCGATTCTACAAAGAGTTATTTAACTAATTAAAAAGTTTTGTTTGCGAATGGATTTTTTAAAGATTCAAAATGATAATTCATTAGAAAAACGTTCAACTGAAAGTTACTAAACAATAAATTATAAGAAAATATTTACTAATTACATTTTAAAATCATTTTACACATTTACGATTTCCACATTATACACACAAGTTTTAAACGGGTACACACGGATATGGATAACCAGACATCGCTACTCAGGCCAGAGAAAGGTCATCCATGGCGTTATCTAAATTGTCGAACATTAATTAACGATGCAGGCTAACAGGTGGCAATTTGGCGTCGAAACTGCCACGATGCTCACAGCGGCAGAAAAAGTGAGAAGTTGCGATAAATCACCAAAATAGTTGAGAAAAAGTAACTAATTTAAAAACTGTGATTCGTCGGGGTCTATATTTTCATTAAATAAAAGCTATTTGTTGTTATGAAATCTAAATTCGGTTCGGTTTGTTTGGTTACGGTAACGCGACACGTGAGCCATTTTCCGAGGGGAGATGCTTCCGGAGAGAACTTCCAATGGAAAGCTGCTTCCTATTTAGGTCTTACTATCGTGAAGGAAACCCAGAAAACGCTACGTATTCAGCCCGTTGGCCAGGGGGAAACTCACGGACAACTACGGGCGTTCTGTGACCTTATGCACTCTGCCATTGCGCTTACGAAATCTGTCTTTAACGGTAAAAATAATAGCATGTTAAACTTGTTAATTTAAATAGATTTCACAATTATAATCAACGAAATTTCGATACACGGGCGACACTGAAAAAACCATAGTGAAATCTGTTCAAATTACAGTTTACCGTTTAATCTGCTATAATATTGGAAACGAATTACTCACCAGTTCCTCATTCATACTTCGATTCTAATTCACACTTCATTTCTCAGCTCTCAAAAGATGGAGAGAGATGAGTTTTTTCGAAAAGACTTGGAAACATTTTGAAAATAATAATAATCGATAAACTGACAGGTAAAACGGTGAACCGGTTCTAAACCCTGCAATCACTGCAAATTGCAAACATTGCTGAAGTGTAGACAGATTCTACATACCGTTTACTCGGACAGTTTGAAACCAGTGGCAATCGGACCTCCAAAACAAACTATAATAACTACCAATAAAAGTTGCCAACCCTTCGGGAGTATCTGCTCCTTGAAATTATCGTAATTCAGTTAAAATTATCGATCATCCATCTCGATCCGTTACACTTACACAGTCTCTCCGTAGAAATATAAACTAGGTTATCCTATTTCAGAATCTCAAACTTTTTATCTGCTACCCCTTTTTACAACAAAAAAGTTTTCAAACTATTCTACAGTTAAATTTTCCGAAATGTTTACGTGTGTATATACTTTATAATATATGGTGCAAAACTAACTTCTAAACTGGCATAATCTAAAATTTAGGTTTTATCGTACACGTTTTTAACGTGTTAACGCGTTAAGCGCCACAATAATGGATCATAAAATATTACCCTGGGCCATGCTTGTTTTTGAACTGATCGCATTTAATATACCTCGTGATTTTATCTGCATTGTTGAAAAACAGTTTTTACTCAATTTTTAGTCATGTATACAATTTTGCAACGTGAGTTTTTTCTGATTATGTTATGCCATTTTTTATATTTATCAGCTTTTCAATTGAACAAAACCCACCAAATTCAAAGCTACATAAACGGTCCGATACAAGTCCAAGAGAAATAGAATAATCAATGAAATAATAAACTTACATTTTTCCCTTTTTTACTGTTTACGTTCACTGAGAGAAAATGAAGTTTGTTTCTTGAATATTTGTTCTTGTGTTTTATATTTTTACTAGTGTTGTAACGAATAGTATATTCGGCCTCAGGCCGAATACCGAATATTCGGCCAAACTATTCGGCTTGATTAACGCACGTACGAAAATTGGCGCGCAAACCGCATTATGGCAAGGATCCTGCTCTCTGTTGGCCCGCTGTCACTACGCTTCGCCAATCGCGTTTATTCTTGGCAGTTGTAGCGGACAGACAAGAGTGTCATGGAAGTATGTGATAAATGATGATATCAAATGTGGATAACGATGAAATGACCTACACGTGTAAATAACGGAAAAAGAACAGAGAAGGACCGCGAAGTAAAAATGTGAAAATAAATATGAAATTGAGTTGATAACATAATCGAACAAGTCGAGGCAGCTTATTGGCACGAAATTCGCGGCCGTCAATGCCAAACAATTGTTGTCATAGACTTCGGAAAGCTAAATGCTTGTAATGAAAGTCACTTAGCGTGCACGGGCGAAAGCCTGGGGCCGTTCGGGCTATCAAGCTGTCTCGAATCTGTGAAATCATAACTGTGACTTATATCGACGTCCTATCTGTCTCTTTTCTCCGTTATCACCAGGCTGAGTCACGTAATTGTAAAATGGGAACTCTACGACGGAAAAGTGACGAATCGAAAGTATCGTGAGCGCGTATTATGATGTATGCACAGGCATACATGGATTAGAGCGATAGAGGAAAGAGAAAGGGAAGAGCAAAGACGAGCGCTTAAAAAGAAGGATAGGCAGGGTCAGACCCTCAGATGTGCGAGGATTCTCCAACGATAGACGTGTACGTGTGCTGATCTTTGTAATTATAAATTGTGAATACATGTGACTAATATTATTTTCTTTTTTATTTTGTGCATGTTACAAGTTATAAATAAATATAAACAAACAACACTAACTCGATAACATTAAATCTAAATACCAAAATGATTAATTTACTGTGTTTTTGTTATTTATTTATCCTGTTTTTAAGTATTTGGTATTCGGCCGAATAGTAATTAAATATTCGGTATTCGGCCGAATAATGATTAAATATTCGGTATTCGGCTGAATAGTGAAAAATAGGCCGAATAGGCCGAATACCGAATAGTAACCGAATATTCGTTACATCACTAATTTTTACAATATTGTACTTATTTACATTCGTTTTGCAAGAAAAGTATTAGAATAGCGGTATTTTGCTTATATTTCATATTTTATGGGAGAAAAAATAAATACTGTACTTATTACTATTTTATAAGAAAACAATTTACTGGACCAAGTGGAATTTCTATTTCCATAGGACATACTTTAAGTATTTCTGTTACGTTTTTATAACTAGAAAATTACTTCGAAGTAACACAGCTGAGATTTCAATGTACAGGGTTTGTTGCGTTTCTTCAACACTGAATTGCAACGTGTTTTGGTACTTGCAACACTTGGCATTTACAACGTTTAAAATTAAACTTGTCGCCATCTGTTATGATTTTTTTAAACTTATTTTTATTTAATTTTATTTGTTCAGCCCTTTAGTAAGAAAGTTTGCCGTATTAGCCTTTCAACATTGTTTGAATCAGTTACAGAATTGGCATATTAGTTCAGCAGCAGTGCCTAAACTAGAAAAAGCATTGTCAGATGGAGATTTAAGTGTAGTAACTTCTGCAATTTCAACATTAAAGCAGTTAACCAAGGTGTAGATATGGAGGTAGAACCAACTCTGTTTGTTCATTTAATATCTAGTTTAGTACAAATTCAGAATCAACTGATTCACAGGAAACTTCCAATAGTAAGTTTTTTTTTTTTTAAGATTTGTTAGTGAAATCTCTGATCGCTCTGACTTCATGAAAGAAAAGTCACCATTGCATACTCTGATTTGTCAATATGAAAGTTTCCAATAAACGAATACTTAATTGTTAATATCATAATTTAAAAAATGTTTAATCTTCAACCAAAACAAATAATTTTCTTATAAAATGTGGAAGAATCATTTTAGGAATCAAAACTTGTGACAACATTTGCTTGATTCTAATTAATCCTTAATTACAATTTATTATTATAAAGATTCTGAAAAAATGAGTTAAAAACAGAATGATATAGAATAACAAAATATTAATATGCAACAATATTCAAAATTTATATTTTTTATTTTAATATTTTAATTTTTGCAGCTTTAATTCTAATTCATAATTTCTTATCTAACAAGTTTACAATAAATTTAAAAACTGCATCTTATGATTAATAAATCATTAATTATAAAAGAAATTATAATTGAAATCAACTTTAATTATAATTTTTGTTAATGCCACACACAACATATCATTACTTCCTCTTTAAGTCAGCTTAAAGTATAATTATAAAAAATTGTACTTTAAGTTGATAAAATAAAACTTAATTGTAACAATTGTTTAGATCACTGGTGTGTAAACTTGATTGGCAAGATAAATTGCACATAAGTTGTAGATAGGTGGGCCATAAATATTTTGTATAATCCTTATATTAAATGTAGGCCTATTTCTATCATTTACAAGTAATATGTCAAATATATTCAAAGGCAGATTTGCATGGGCTAGATTAACAGATAATTTTTACTACTGGTTTGGATCATTAATTGAAATCACATTATGATACATAATAAACTTCAGCTTTTTATATATATATATATATATATATATATATATATA